CTGGGAAAGCAATTTGCTGATAATTGAGAATAAGGAAGGGTTCCAGCTTTCCCCATGAATTTGGAATGAAGATGGATGCTACAAAAACACAAACTTACAGTATTATAACCATTAGCTCCAAACGTGGATTGCATAAAGCAAAAAGGGGAAGATATGCAAAATGCATCACCATAGGAACTGCTCTCCAAACATGTGTGGGTGACAGAAGAATGATGATTAGAAGAGTCCCCATTGGCTGTAAATGTCACCTGGTTCTAGAAAAGAAATGAGATCAATGTGTGGTCTCTACGGGAGTGGAGAATGCGTTGTTCAATAATGGTTTGGCACAATAGACAAGGTTGTTCACTGTGTGGCAAAGCTCTGAGGAGCAGGGAAATGCTACAGTCGATATGAATGACAAACAGAAATGCTCATGATCATTAATATCATTTTTTGTGTTAATATTGTGCAAGGAATATTTTTTTAACAAAAAATAAATCATATAGTATAAGTCTTGGAAAATTCAGTTTTAAACGAAGCTAGCTTTACATTCTAGTTCAACATGTCCCGAAAGGAACCAATTCTAGTTCACATTTGTCCCTTTATAAAATGAACTAGTATGGTTCACGTTCAGTTCAAGTTCATCCAAATGATCCTCAACAAAATAAATAAACAGGAGGAGGGGGGAAACAAACCCAACAAGAGTATGAATTTGAAGTGGAAATCAAAGTTTTATCCTGAAATGAACTTAGTTCACCTAATAGTTATGGGAACTACTTTCAGGTGCAGTTCATAAAGTTTTGAACTAATTCAGTGAACATTGTTGAACAAAACTAGTTCATTCCAAGCACTGGTACATAGCACATCCTAGTTAGCCAAGTCAATTCCACACTGCTGGGTCTCATTTGCTCCAGAGGCAGCTGAGAGATATGGGGGGGGGGGTGTTTCAACCTTGCTGTTTGAGAAGCATTTAAGGCTTAGAATTGGAAGACCATATGCACAAAAAGTCTAGAAATTTTCAAAATGCCCTCAAATAGCACATCGTGGTTTGTAGAAAGGTTAAGTGAGAGCCCAGAACTTTGAAGCTGTCTGTTGCGCAACCATTAATTCACTGTGAGCCATCACAACCCCAAGGTCAACGAGCACATTCCCACATTAACAATCATGAGAATATGCGGGGGAGGGGGAGGGAAGATGCATTATAAGTAATAGATCCTGACAGCAGATGAGAGGAATAAAGGACCATAACAGGCATGGCATTAAATGGGACTGCACTTAATGCGTCATTTCCCATTAATAATAGCAGCTACAGGAGACAGGGTAAACAGGGCATGTAAACACCGCCATGTGTTTTAATCTGGTTTCAGCCGTTTGTTGATTTGGATTATTATTTTTGGAACATTTTAAATGCTCGTTATTAACTCTCCCTTTTTCTAATAAAAAAACCCCCTGATAACGGTCATCA